GAAACTATCCCAGCAAGATGAAGTGGCAGTTGTGTTTGAAGGCTGCCTGCTCCAAAGAGATTCCATCATTAATTCTGGTGAAGTGAGTTCACAGTTTGGGGGACTTTTTACACCCCTACAGTTCCTGCTGAAGTAGCAGATAGCAGCTATGGCTAAGAGGGTATTTGCTCAGCTCAGTGTATTGCACTAATTGAAACATTTACTGGAATAGCAGGCATTAACTCACTGTCTTTTATACTTTGGTCGCTTTAATTGGACTATTATACTATGGAACATGGGGTTGCCCTAGAAGAGTATTTAGAAGCTGTAGCTGGTCTAGTAGTAGCTCATGTGGTGATGAGTGTTCCTTAAAATACCCATGAAATACATTTATTCCAAATAAATACATTTATTCCAATGGCTGCTATTTGGCTTCTGGGTGCAATTCTGGATTCATGACTCCTGCTTGAAGAGCAGGTGGCAATGGTGGTTAGGAGAATTTTCATGCAACTTTGTGTTGTATATCAATTTCACCCTTTCCTGGACTGTGAAACCCAGCACTCAATCACTCATGCCCCATCATTGCTTGGTTGGATTACTGCAATGCAGTCTAACCCTTGAAAAGTATTCAGAAACTACAGCTGGTACAGAGTGCAGCAGTGTGGGCAGTTCTGGAGGCTCCTAGGGTGGTGCATGTAACACTGCTGTTACATGAACTGCATTGTTTGCCAGTTTGCTTTTGGGTCCAATTGAAAATCTTGGTTTTCACACTCACACCAGTAGAAGAGGCCTTCTCTGCCGTGCCCCCCCCCCCCCCCCCCCCCCCCCCCCCCCCCCCCCCCCCNCACACCAGTAGAAGAGGCCTTCTCTGCCGTGCCCCCCCCCCCCACCCTCTGGAACATCTTACCTCCAGAGGTGAAATCCACTTCCACCCTTCTAGCCTCCTGGAAGGACCTTAAAACCGGGTTCTTTCAGTTGGCTTGGGTCCTGATGGGGATGTGCTATGGTGGCTGATTGAGTGAGAGACAAAAGTCAAGCCCCATCCTGTCTGTGCTCTTGGTTTTAAACTTTTATTTACTTGTTAATTCCAATTTTTAGATTTATGCTTTAATGCTATTGTAAGTTACCCTGGGCCACTCTAGATAGTGAGGTGGGTGACACCAGGGTAGCCTATATATTTAACAAATAAGTTCAAATATTGCTTATTATCTTTAAAGCCCTTCATGTTCAGAGCCTGGTATCTGTGAGACCATCTTCTTCCCTGTGCCTCAGTATATGTTCTAGTAGGGCAGGCTTACTACATATCCCCTCAGTTAATGATTGGCATTGTTAGGGGCCCAATAAATGTATTTTTCAGTGCTCCCCCCCCTTTCTGATAGCATTTATCCAAAGTGTAATCTGCCCTTTTCCTTCTGGCTTTTAGAAAGTTGATGAAAACTTGAATGATTCTTCAAACCAGGGGATCTGAATTGTTACAATAACCTTGTTTGTCAAAATAGATCTCTATTATTAATAATTTTATTAGTTACACTTCCAATCTCAAAAGAATATTGCTGTTTTTAACTGTATGTTTTTAATCCCAATTATGTATTCAGCAAGTATATGCTGATAGATTTTATCTGTACAACATTATCACAGCATGCCTCCCAACTGTTTTGGCTCCTCTTCTCCAAGATCTTGCAGGAAAAAAATGCTTCATGTTACAGAAAAATGTACTTTCATTCCTTCACATCCAAAGTATTTGTTCTATATTAAATCCACCATAGCGGATCAACAAACTGAAAATTTAATTCAAGCATTTGAGGACATCTTCCAAAGTCAAACTGGAATATATTAAGCAATGCTATGGTTAATTGGTATACATGAAGTGGTCACAGAATACACCCCACTTTCAATCTGCAAATAATAGCACTGGTGTTTACATTCAGTTTTTATTCTGGCAGTTCCCATGACTCAGCAGTGAGAATCAAGAAATATGTCCGGAGCAGCCCAAGATTGTCTATTTGCATTTTGGGGGGAAATAACTAGGTTTCTCTATGCAGGGGCAAAATATATTTCCAGACTTCAGGCAAGATTGTCTTGGTTTCCGCATGGTCTTCTACTGATCCCCCTCTGCTGAAGATAGTCTTTGCAAATATGGCTCTTTCCTATCTAGTGGTCACCATAGTACCCATGGGTTGCTACACTATTACAACTGGCTTACATGATTATCCTCACATTTTGAAGCATCCTAAGTTAATGTTCCTCCATCAGAGGCAGGTATAATGCCTAGATCTTCTTTGGAGGATTCAGTCCTATTTTTCCTAAGGAGTAAGGTACATGGGGTTCCTATAATCTATTAGAAGCCCTTTAAAACTGTTATTCTACTAAATTTAGTATTTAAGCTAAATACTCAGCTAAATTCAATATTTCCCAAGACTAAAAAACAAGCATTTTGACCTTGAATTTCAGGTTCATAATGTTTTGACGTAACTTTCATAAAGATGCACTTTGTGGCTATCTGTCTGTTTTTCTAATTCACATTTTATAACATATTTGGGCCACTTTTAATCACCTACATTGTTACTAGTCCCAACATCATCATCATCATCATAATCATCATCATAAAGTTGGAAGGGACCTTGGAGGTCATCAGGTCCAACCCCCTGCTCAGGCAGGAAACCCTATTCCATTTCAGACAAATGGCTGTCCAGTCTCTTCTTAAAAACTTCCAGTGTTGGAGCATTCACAGGTTCTGGAGGCAGGTTGTTCCACTGATTAATTGTTCTGTCAGGAAATTTCTCCTTAGTTCTAGATTGCTTCTCTCCTTGATTAGTTTCCATCCGTTGCTTCTTGTCCTGCCTTCAGGTGCTTTGGAGAATAGCTTGACTCCCTCTTAGTTGTGGCGGCCCCATAGATATTGGAACACTGCTATCATGTCCCCCCCCCGTCCTTCTTTTCATTAGACTAGACATACCCAATTCCAGCAACCGTTCCTTATATGTTTTAGCCTCTAATCCCCTAATTATCTTTGTTGCTCTTCTCTGTACTCTTTCTAGAGTCTCAACATCTTTTTTACATCGTGGTGACCAAAACTGGATGCAGTATTCCAAGTGTGGTCTTACCAAGGCATTGTAAAGTGGTATTAACACTTCACGTGATCTTGATTCTATCCCTCTGTTAATGCAGCCTAGCACTGTGTTGGCTTTTTTGGCAGCTGCAGCACACTGCTGGCTCATATTTAAGTGATTGTCCACTAGGACTCCAAGATCCCTCTCACAGTTGCTACTATTGAGCAAGGTACCACCTATACTATACATGTGCATTTGGTTTTTCTTGCCTAAATGTAGAACCTTACTTTTTTTACCATTGAATTTCATTTTGTTAGATAGTGTTCAAGTCTGTCAAGATCCTTCTGTATCTTAAGCCTATCTTCTGGAAAGTTGGCTATTCCTGCCAGCTTGGTGTCATCTGCAAATTTGATGAGTTCCCCATCTATCCCCTCATCCAAATGATTGATGAAGATGTTGAAGAGCACTAGGCCCAGAACAGAGCCCTGGAGCACCCCACTACACACTTCCCTCCATGTAGATGCGGTTCCATTGAGGACCACACACTGAGTACGGCCGGTCAGCCAGCTACGAATCCATCTGGTGGTGATGCTGTCTAACCCACATTTTTCTATCTTATCGAGTAGTAGGTTGTGGTCTACTTTATCAAATGCCTTAAGGAAGTCCAAGTAAATTATATCCACAGCATTTCTCTGATCCACTAATTTTGTCACCTGGTCAAAAAATGCAATAAGATTTGTCTAGCATGATCTGTTTTTGACAAACCCATGTTGGCTTTTGGTAAAGACTTTGTTTGCCTCTAGGTGTTCGCTGATTCGTTGGTTGATTATCTTTTCCAAGATCTTCCCAGGTATTGAGGTCAGGCTGATAGGTCTGTAATTTCCTGGATCCATTTTGTCCCCTTTTTGAAGATGGGAACTACATCAGCTCTTTTCCAGTCCTCTGGTAATTCCCCAGTGCTCCAGGATCTTTGAACGATAATTCAGTGGTTCTGAGATCACATCTGCCAGTTCCTTCAGAACCTTGGGGTGTAGTCCATCTGGTCCTAGTGATATGAACCCATCTGGGGTAGACAGGTGCTCACTTACCATTTTCTTGCCTATCTTAACTTGTATTTCTAATCTGTTTTTTACAGTACTATTTTTGATAGGTTGAACTGTTTTTTCCCTTTGTGTAAATACGGATGCACAAAACGAGTTGAGTAGTTCTGCTTTCTCCCTGTTGCTTGTCACCTTGTCACTTTTTCCCACTAATAGACCAATCATTTCCTTAACTTTTTTCTTGTTTTTTACATGTTGAAAGAAGCTTTTTTTTTGTTATTTTTTACTTTTGTTGCAAGCCTTAGTTTATTTTGAGCCTTAGTTTTCCTCATTTCATCTTTGCAGGCTCGGGCTATTTGCTGATATTCTGCCTTAGTTATGTGTCCCCCTTTCCACTTTTTTATACTTGTCTTTTTTGTCTTTCAATTTATCAGAGAGTTCTTTATGTAGCCATGCTGGTTTCTTTTGAGAGCTGTTATTTTTCTTCTTGGTTGGTATTGTGCTAGACTGGGCTTTTATTATCTCATTTTTCAAAATTTTCCAAGCTTCTTGAGTTTTTTCCCCTTTGAGGATTCTCATCTATGGAATCCTTCCAAAGCTCTCTAAGTTTGTTGAAATTAGATCTCTTAAAGTCCAAGACTCTAGTTTGACTATGTTCTATTGCTTGTGCTTGCATAATGTTGAATTCCAATATTGCACGGTCACTCCCCCCCCCCCCCCCGGTTCCTGTGGTTTCAACACTTTCTATCATTTCATCTCTGTTAGTGAGAATTAAGTCCAATATGGCTGATCTCCTAGTTCCCTTCTCTACTTTTTGGGAGACAAAGTTGTCTGCTAGATTTGTCAGGAATCTGTTTGATCTTCCACTTGGTGCAGAGTTTGTCTCCCAGTTGATATCAGGGTAATTAAAGTCCTCCTTTTTATTTTCCAGGTCCTTGGAACTCCCACAAGAGAACAAATTAGAGAAATGAATCCAAACTACACAGAATTTAAATTTCCTCAGATTAAAGCACATCCATGGACTAAGGTGAGTCTGTTTGAAATGGTGGTATTTGTATGTGTGGCGGGGCATATTCAACACTGAGGTCTGTGTATTTATTTTCAAAAGCAATAAACAGAACCATCACACTATATTATGTAATAGTCCTACAAATTGCTAATCTATTTATATTCAGAGTAATATTTTTGTTGATATGACTGAAACGTGCACAGATTTTTCTTCTCATCTGTAATCCTCCATATTTCCACACAGCTATTTAGAAGATTTTATGAGAATTACTGATGGCAATTTGGGATGGGTATGCTGCCATACATATTAAAGGACAGGGAAATAGCAGAATGCTTCTGCATAGAAAATGCCTTTTGCTTAAGTTATTTGAAAAAAGCTTTCAGAGTAGGTCTTTCTTGAACAGCATCGCTTCTTCTATATGAAAAGAATGCTAAACAGATTGTGGCTGAAACAAGGTCATTTAGAAAGAAACAGTGAGGAAGTATTGACATCTTTACCAAGATAGCACAGTTTCCAAAAAAAAAAAAAAANGGGGGGGGGGTGAAGGGAACCAGAAGGCACAACCTCTGGCCTCCAAATAAAATAAGGGTCCAGTGAGGCTAAACTATACTAAGTGGCAATCAAAATGGAATGGAATGGAGCAGGATGGCCAATCCACAGACTGTAGTTACACTCCACTTCTATCTTGGTTTTTGAAAAACTACTTCATTGCTAAGATTTGATGTTTTTGCAAAAATAATAAAGTTACAATTTTAAGCCCATTTCTGTTTCTTAATGTTTCCAAACTCTTCCTAAAATGAAAATATTGAAGATTTCACCCTCCCTATACTCCTCAGAGGTTAAACATGTATTTTAGGGTAAAATTATGGTCCAAAGGTTTAAAAAATCTACAGCTGAACAATTTAAAAAGAACCCAGAACTATTCACATGTCCATGCAACTTATCACTTTTATCTCCATTCAAAAGCATAATACAAAGTTCTCTTTCTTCCATAACAGTTAAATCAGACTGCTCTTTTTTACAAGAATGAGAAAATAATATTTATGAAGTTTGTTTCTCTCTTGTTGAAAAATCAGGCCAGGCCTTCCATTTCGCAAGGGGTTAGGTGAAGCTTGCACTTTCACAGTAGCTTTTACTCCAATTGTAGACTCATATTTGCAATTTGACGATGTCTTGCAATTGCAACAAAGTTTACTTGCTGGCAAGGGATATAGTGTAAAGATTGTTGAAGCTATAGGATGATATGAGAATAATCAACTAGGTGAAAAAACACTGCAGTCATTGATCACTAGCTGTGAAAGTTCATTCTTGCTCGTTTTATTTCTATTTCAATGATCAATGTGGACAGTAATGTTGCGGAACCTTAGTAGTTAAGCTCTGTGGTGTGTAGTCTGTTGAAAGGAACAGGTAGAACATTAATAGAAGAACTTATTTTGTTGATCCAACAGTTTGGAAGCAATATTTCTGAATCCCAAAAAGATCCTGCCAGTGTTCTAACATTTCTACTTTGAGTTGCTAAAACTCAGAACCCTAAGGCATGATATTGAAGCCAGTCTGAACTAAAACACATTCATGCACCTTTTATTAATTGATTTTTAGTTATTGGAAAAGAAAGAAAGGAAAAGAAATGAATGTTCTTAACCGATACATAGTGCTCTGTAAAAGACTATAGACTAGTCTATAGAAAAATGTGAAGCTGTAGTATACTGAAGTGTTCTGGGCAGAAGATGAAATATTGCAAATAGAATCTTCTTTTTATGAGACAGCATTCTGAATCAGACATATGATACTTGAACCAGTCCTCTTACTCCTGATTTGTTCCTTTGCTTATAAATGAGTTCATTTCATGTTAAGCGCTTGGACTAGCTTATATACTAGTATTAGAAATTAGTCCAGTTTTGGAAATCAAGACATTTTGTTGATGTCACTGTTTTCTTTGACATCTCCCTAACTCTGCTTCTCATTTACTATTTTAAATCATATAGAAAAAATTGTTCCTTTTGGAATTTTCCATGCTATTTACTAGATCATGTCTTTCCTTTTGTACATCAGATTTCCTTTCAAAGACTGGTGATTCTTTTCTAAGAATCTTCTCTAAGACTCCTCATTTAAGATTATCTTATTTTATGTATACTTGCAAACTCTCTAAACAAAGCTAAAAAAAAGTCACAGCATAAACTTCAGTAAAAAGCATGGGAATATACAGGCTTGTATAAAAAACTTTTTAAACAATACCAGAATGACAAACTTTTGGTAGTGTGATTGCCTCCATTATAAAAATGCTCAGACTTAAATGTGCTTAATTATCTTGTATGTTTAATACATTTATTTATTTGAAGAGTTCTTTCCACTCAAAAATATTTTTAAAAGGCTTTAATTAATGGTAGGTAGAATTTGCCATGCCACTAACACGTCTCCTGCAACCTTTGAAGACAAAGAAAAATTAGTTAAATATGAGCCCATATTGGGGAAAACTGCCAGCATTGCTCTAAGATAACAAACATGTAAACAGAATGTTACTTTGGATCCATTCCTGGTAACCTCTTTATCCATAGGAAGGAAGAAAAAGTATATGCTTGTTTATCTTCAGACCAATATGATTTTTTTTAACTTAAGAATTATAAGAGCTTTTTATATGGTGATAATGCAAAAATTTTGGTATGTTTGGGAAATGATAGGGTAAATTGAATGTAAGGACTACTGTGGAGTGCCTGATGAACCTCATCTTGAAGGTTGTAAAGAAGATGACTTTTGGGTATAATGTTAAAAAGGAAGGCCAGGTCCTGTAACATGCAGAGACTTACTGTAGCACTGTAACTTTGTCTGACTTAACTTGGGAGGATGAAAGAAATTCAATTTTAAAAAAAACCTCTAAAATTAAAATATATAAATTGTGTATATATAAAAATAATTATATATACAAATTTAAAATTATATATACATTCATAAAATTAAATTCAAATATTAAAAAAGTAAAATTACTTCACTCCTTTGAAGTCCAGTTGTACCTTTTAATACTTTACTAGCTCCTTTCTGCAGTGGTTACTAGTGTATTTTTCACTGTGTTATATTTTCCCAGAAACAATAATGAGCTTGGCCCTAGAGAAAAACTACAGATTTTAAATTCAAACATTTGCAAGGCTTATTAATATATACAACTGTATATTAAATAGTTAAAATTATGTGTTTTAATATTTGAAATATATACAGTCATAAGTGATAGATGTATTTGTGCATTATATTAATATTTACATTACACAATAATGATAGCGAGGAGTTTTAGCCAAAAGAAGCAATACTGCATGGATAAGAGTTATGAATTCTTGAAGGTGCTTTGCCTAATACGAATATACTTGCAAACTTTTAAAAATAATTTATCAGACATTTCTGCCCTTTCTTTATGTTCTGTAGTACCATATATATACTTTACCAATTGGAGGTTGTTTTCTTACCATGCTAACCAAAACCTAACAAGATGAAGATTCAGAGGCTATAAATGTTCTTCAGAATGAGGATGATCTTTTAGAATTTTTATATGGTTTTATTTGTTCTCTGATAGTATTTATGAATATGTCCCAAATTAGCTAACTTGTTCATGGGTTAGTTAGTTAGTTCAAAAAGCTTCCCACCTTCCTGTGGGAGGTTTATCATGGAATATAAAGTGGAATCTAAAATGGTTATCACACTTCATTTCAGCATTGCAGGTCTGCTTTATGTGTGTGTGTGTGTGTGTGTGTGTGTGTGTGTGTGTGTGTGTATGCTTGTAAATTTATTGTGGAAAATCTAGAGTCAGTTGAAGTCAGGCAGTGCCTACATTGAATTAATTAACTGAACAAATTTGACAGAGTTCAATGAGAGACTAATGACAATTTTAAAAAATCACTTAAATGCAATTTGTCATTGGAAAGGGCAGTGTTTAGCAGTTGATACTCAGATGCCCACTCTCCCCAGGTAAGGCAGTTGTGCTCATGATGATTCATCACTCTGAGAAGCAGGCAATAGGATTTTCAGGTTTTTTTAAGAAAACGAATTGATTCTGCAACCTGAAAACATTTGCAAATACCAGACTGAGATTATTTCTATGATTTCAGCCATGAAGACAGCAAAGAGCCTCTTTTGCATGACAAACATTTAAGTCTGACTGAAAAATACAATTTTTGGTTTATGTGTTTGCATCTGTATATGGCAGAAGATATAGCCTTTTTCCTCTCTGATTTGCCAGAGGACAAGAGACAAGTTTTTCAGAATAAAGCAATTCATTTTGCTAAGCAGGAATAAAAGATAATTTTTCATGAAGCTGTTTTCAGCAGTCAAAACTATGCTATTTTGCACTTTTTGTGTCATTGTTCTTGGCTCCATTCCATTGGCATCTCGTTGGAGGCTAAAGCTAGAAGCAAAGATCTTCTATTTTCACAAGGATAGTTTATATAAGTAAAACTCAATGCTGCTTGGACAGTGTTCAAATGCTTTTATCAACAGCCCACAAATGGGACCTGTAACATTTTATTTATTTTCTTCTCACTACCATCCATGGGTTTGTTGACACTTGTTTTCTCAATGGAAAGCAACTCGTGGTAAGATTTTATTCTTATGTATCTTCGTTTCTTGATCCAGCAAAGGGAGCATAATATGTTTTGTGCCCTACCAGAGTTTTAGCTTGATTCACAACAGTTTTCTTCTTTTTGCTTGTTATGGTTAAGGAAAAAATGTACAGAACAGATTAATAATGCATTCCTATTTTATTGGACATTTGAGTTCCAATTTTTAATGGGAGGAATTAGTGTTCTGTTCTGATGAATATAGTGAACAATTATGTTAGAGCAAACTGAAAAACAAATACATACCATGGGAAAAACCCAGGAAAAATAAATGAGTCAAATTAGTTTTGAAGAGTTTGCAAGTGTATTTATATCAACAAGTAGCCAATTCAAGAGTTTGTAATAATTGATTTTCAGTTATTTTAATTTATTTATTTAAAATTCAGTACCTTATTTATTATATGCAGTGCATATTAGAATATAGAGTAGATTAAAGAAAAAATATAGAATGAGATATGATTGCCTGAAAAGACTTAAAATGTATGTCAACACTATCTAATTAATAAATGAAGTAAATGATGTCATATAATATAATACCAGGATCAAGATATTGTAAAATGAATTTAGGATTAGGCTGCCAATAACTTTATGAAGCTATTCTCTGAAAAATAAGTATATATCGTTTTCTATAAGTATTCAGTAAAAATTCTTAAAAATTCTTAAAAATTCCCATTTTGGCTTCTTTTTCATAAATATATAGTATCGCCAGTAGATTTTTCCACATGTCCTTTTTTGTTAAAACAATCACTTATTGACCCACCCCCCAAATAAAACTTTTTTAAGATAAAAGAAATTCCTTTAGCTAATCTTGTTTTGGCACTTTTTGAACTCATGGTTTAAAAATGTCACTTTATATAAATGAAAATTAGAATTCTCAACCACTTTCTGAATGCAATACAGTTCCATGATCAGAACATTGTGGGTAGGATCGGATTCATAGAGAATTATGTAACATTGTGCTTTAATCCTTGACTTGATTCATTGCCTCTCTCCTTTTTCTCTTCTATGTTAAGACTACTCTGTTGAGGTATATAGCTGCTGTATTCTTTCGTATTGCACTTAAATAGGCCACATCTGTCCAAAAAAGCAAAATTTCTCAGCATCATATTGTAGCCTCATTCATAGTCTCAGTTAACTACATTTCAACACTACAACAACACAAAACAGCAGCTAGGATTTTCCAGCAGTGTTTCAAAGAACAACCTTTGAGTGGCTATAACTGTTTCATGCCTTTAATGAGTAGTTCTAGAAGTCCTGTTTCACTCAAAAAGCATTTGTACAGTGTTATTGCTGAATACAATTTTTTTTTATTACAACCAAATAAAATTCTATAATACTTGTACTCCAGTGTGCTGGGCCCATAATTGGTAGGTGGTACAGCATGTGGGACAAAGTTGTGGAAATTTATATTGAACTTGGAAAATGTGCCACTTTAAAAATAGTATAAATACACACTAATATTTTGCCTCCAATATACTACACAGTTTTAAATCCTGTCCAGATAAAATCATGAATGTATAATACATACATTTTAATGGACAATTATTATGATAGATTTTTTAAACCATTATTTCAGGTTGAAACCTTATTATGATCTTTTAAACTTTTCCATAAAATAAGAAGATGCTACTAATATTATCAAATCTTAAGGTTTTGAGAACTATAAAAAGAATCTTTAGCTAAAAGAAGTGATGGGCAAAAAATCCTACAAACAGTACTAGGTTTAATGTATTAAATATAAATATGAAAGATATCAATATGGGAATGAGAATAACTAGGCAGAAATAGAACATAAATGAGGAGGGATAGAACTCTCCTCTCCATAACAATGCAATGCAAATTGAACATGTTTAGGGGCTACAAAATGGTAATTCCTCTATGGCTGCAGAGGAAAATGAAATGGCATATCCTGGAGAAAGTTGGAACATTCAACAGAAGTATATTCCATGGCAATATTCATGATAGGGGTTTTTTTTCCAGCATGGCATTTTATGTCATTTAACATACTATATTAATAAGTAAACTGAGCAAATTAATTAAAATACTATATGTGATTATAGTAAATTATAATTTACTAAGAATTGAAATCATATAGTTCTAGTCAGCATTCACATGTGTCACTTTAGTTTTCTGCTTGTGGCTTTCCTGTGCATTTATTTGGCCGTATTTAGTCTGCATACTAAAGGTTAGTCTGCCCACTTGCATTATCCTTTGTGTTGTCAGCTTTTCCTTTCCTTGGTCAAGATTGCTTCAGATTTCAATAGATTTTCTTGAGAAGGGCCGGCTTTTAGACCCAAGTGCTAAGTTTTAGTCCGCAGACTAAAAACTAATCCGCGGATTATTTATGCAAGCAATTCCCTCACTGAAAACTACATGAAAAATAGTAACTATTCTCTTCAAAACATAATAGTGAGGGCAGTTCACAGCTAACAGTGAACCTTACAATATGTCCTTTGACACCTATGCACAATAGAATGCTGAAAACATCTCTTGTTTTGGTAGCCCCATTGTGCTTAAGTGTTGGCAAACTGTATTATTGACTACTTGATCTGTAACTGTGACAGTCCCTTGCTTTTAATGTTAGTTGTTTGTATGTTGTTAAGTAGTTCTTAGTGGGTGAATAAAACATCAGAACAGATTGGGGTGGGAAGAATTAAAGAATGCAGTATCTTTCTGTCATCATCAGTTGCTCTTAAAAAAGAAAAACATAAATCCCCTGCACTTATAAATGACTGAGGGCATAAGGGAGGAAACCACAATAAAGGGGAAAGTAAGTTAGATCCTACCATCACTCCTGAAGTGTCATGTCCAGTTCCTGAAGCATCCTAATGAAATATCAACTAAAAATCTAAACGCTAAAAAATCCATTGGCGGGGAAGTCAATCCAAGATGAAGAATAATCCGCGGTGGCCTGATGTAGCGTATAGACATTTAAAGTGGTCATCTTAGAAATGAGAAACTTAATGATTCTCTCTCTTAGAAGTGTTATATCAGAACACTTTTTAGCTTGTGCTTTTAGGATAAATAAACAGGAATAAATGAGTCTGTGCATGATTGCATGTCTCATGCTCCTTCCTGTGGCTATCTCTCTCCAAGATAGGGAGGAGATCTATAGCTTAGTTTTGAAAATTCAATATAATTTTACTTTTATACAGACATTTGATTTCATATTTTTGTTACCTTTTAGTAAAATCACTGGCATTGGAACATGCATTAAAGTAAAATGTTTCTATATTATGCCTCAGCTTTGCAAAATTATTTTTATTAATTTTTGGACTTGCTGCTGATGTTTAAAGGTTCTAATTGTATTAAACATTTAATATTTCCCCATCACTTTGGATTTCTTATAATATTGGATATATTTTTCCTTGCTGGACTATACTTTTGGATTGACTCCCCCTGTTTGGATTATTTCACTGCATTATCATCCTTAGGACTCGTCAGGAACAGGACATTTCACCTCAGGAGTACGGGTATGTATATAATTTTTTTTTCCATATCACCAGGTTAATTGCTGGGGAAACAAAAACAAAATTAGGATTGAAAAGTTTACGCCAAGTTATTAGACTACAAGGAGCAGTCAGCTAATATTCTCTTCCTATTGTAAAATTAGATGTTTGGGAATAGAAGTAATGTTTACATTTTTCAACATTTATGCAAACATCTCATGATTCATTTCAAGTTTTCAAAGAAAAATAACTCCCTGATAGTGCTTGCAATTATGTTGGCTGCTTCAATTTTAATTATAGAACATGAGAAGAAATATGAGAATAATTTCTGCTAGCTTATTAATGAATGCTATATTAATTGTCTCCCTCAAAATAAAAGCAAATTAAAAATTATCATAATTAGAGGTGATAAGAATGATATTTTAAAAGATCTGGTGGATACTAGATTAAGTATGTTTCTTTACAAATATTCCCTTTGGCTGTAATCATTAGATTGAATTGCACTTGGAATTTCATATTGGGACAGAAATACCTAATCTATGTGCGTAATGTGTTTATGAGTGAACATTATGCCAAAAAAGATATGGCATAAGGTAAGAAAAGGGAATATAGCTAAAACTAATTCTCCATAGTCTTCCATTCATTTTTGTCCTCATACAAAGCATCCTTGCTTCCATCACATCCATTGCCTTTTGTTTTGTTTCACAGCAACAATTGCATCCTCAGTAGAAGATTCTCAAATCCACATACTCTTCTGTGTTTCAAAGAGAGATCATACAATTCACCCAGGGCTCGTAGTGGAAAAATACTTTACATTTCCTTGTTCTGTAGTATTTGTGTTTGCCCATATCAGTAAAGTAATAAACCTTTCTTAAGAACAAGTTGAAACAAGGAAACAATGTAAAGCAGGAAGCAGAAATTTTTTTAATAACTGGGAGTTTTGGTGGCACAGTGGTTAGAATGCAGTATTGCAGGCTAACTCTGCCCACAATCTGGAGTTCGATCCTGATGGGGTTTAAGATTGACTCAGCTTTCCATCCTTCCGAGGTCAGTAAAACAAGGACCCAAATTGTTGGGGGCAATATGCTGACATTGTAAACCGCCCAGAGAATGCTCTAAAGCACTATGGAGTGGTATATAAGTGCTATCGCTATTGCTATTAAAATAATAATAATGTGACATTAATGTCCCATGTCATTTTAATACATAACTCTCAAAATTATCTAAGAATCATAAAAATATGCACATCTAATGAATCAATTAAAACATTTTAGAATAAAAATCCAAATTAGTTCCCATATTGGATATCTGGAGGAAACGTTTGGACCAATGGCATTGATTTCTTTGCTCTTAAATTCTACCTCCACTGTTCATCTCATCATATATATTGTTACATATGTAAGACTATTTTTCAATCTCTTATCCATTCACTTTCTTTCAAAATGTGTGCCCAAGCACAATTACTACTGTATTGTGTTTTCTATTCAGAAGCTGCTATTGCAATAGTTCCCCTCATATTATTTTCATCTGAAAATTATCAGGTCTATAAAGCAATTGCCGCTCTTGGAATGAAAGAATTAGGAGAACAGCTGAGAGTGCCTCATCACTCTCCTGGCTTAAGTTATAAGGTAAGGCAAGGCTAAGTGAGATGAAACAATATTCACAGGATTTCAAATCCTGCTTTTTCAGGTCCATTTACAGAGGGAAATTGCCTAGTGTATGGATTTGGGAGCATCTTCTCTTTCACACAGTTTACTCCTACAAATCAAAAACTGGATTTCAGTGCAATTAGAAGAAAGGAGCTATATGGGGATGGGTATTTAAATATATGGGTGAGTGAGAGGTGTTTCTAGTGATGAATTGGAGTAGGAAGAGTTGTACTCTCCTTTCATCATCCGATCACTCTATTACATCAAAGTTGCCTTGTCAAAAAAATGCACGGCTGCTTCAGCATTAATTTGGGATTTTTATATAGTGATTAAAAATTGATAAGCATTTTGGTTCTTTTTGTTTTCATTTACTCTAAATTCTATTCTGTTCTGTTTTAATCTGGTGTTTGGACTCTCCCTCATAAGTTTTGATTGCTTTGTAGAAACTCATCATTTTTATAGTAGTATATAAAATTGGGCTCAGTCTCTCCCCGTCTATATTAGAGATTAGAATATATTTAAAGCACTTTCCTTGTGGTTGAAGTTAATGTGTCTTTTAAAAATGTATTTATGCAGATCTGCATTTGATTTTGCATGTGGTCTATATGCTATTGCGTTCATTTTGTGGAACTGTGAATTCAGTTTATCATACAATACACTAAGGGTTTAACCATTGCTTATCCTCCCAAGACCTTTCACATAGGTTAAAAAAAACCCACAGTTTAGAACTAGAACACAACCTATGGAGGCAACCCATTCCACTGATTAATTGATTTCACTATCAGGAAGTTTAACATTTAAGGCAGTCCTGAATTTCCAAGAAAATATGCAGTGTAAAAGTGATGATTGCATGTTGAGAATAGAATAGAATAGAATAGAATAGAATAGAATAGAATAGAATAGAATAGAATAGAATAGAATAGAATAGAATAGAGCAGAGCTGGAAGGGACCTTGGAAGTCTTCTAGTCCAGTCCCCCGCTTAAGCAGGAGAACCTACAACATCCCAGACAAGTGATTAAAACCCCTATTAGCAAATTAGCATAAACCAGTTTGGTAAATCCAAATCTACGTTTTGGATTTAGTCAGGTTTAAATGGGATTATATAACACTCAATCCTCAAAATATCCCATCACTTGCTTTTTTCCTCTTTTCCAGCCCATCTGCATAACCTAGTGGCATCATTTATGTTTTTAAAGGTATTATTTCCTTTCTTCCCAGATTTCCTCAGCTTGGTGCCTTATATCTGTCATATCCTCAGGGATTTTGTAAATTCAACTTTATTCAATATAGCTCCTTGCCAATAAGCATTTTTGCCTTAGCCAATTGGTAAAGATATTAGCTTTTTTAAAAAAACAAAACAAAATAATACCTACACCAGCTTAATTGTTCAGGCTCATAGTCTGTTAATGTGTAAAACAAAATGGTCAGCCTGTCCTCTTTTTTTCCCACAGGTCTTCCGACCCCGCACTCCACCAGAAGCAATAGCTCTATGTAGCCGCCTGTTGGAATATACCCCAACTGCCCGCCTGACTCCACTGGAAGCATGTGCACATTCTTTCTTTGATGAATTACGGGACCCAAACATCAAATTGCCAAGTGGTCGAGAGAAACCTGCACTCTTTAACTTTACTACTCAAGGTAATTTGGAAACATTATGCCAGCATATGGCATCCTATCAAATAAAGTTAGGGTGAAATGATGGATAAAGTGTTGGGCGCTTCAAAAGAAAATACTCTTTCCACAGCATAGATGAATGGAACAAAGGGAAACATTTACAAATTGTATGTGTCTTTGTCTGTGTGTGTCTCTCTCTCTCTGTGTAGCCAGTTCATTCTTGATAGAGACAAGATGATGTAAAATATAATTGAATCCATAATTTAAGTGATCTCTATCACAGTTAGCAAGTCATTTCCTAGTTGATTATTAATAAATGAATGTAGATGAAGTTAGTCCATAGTGCAATTTTTACTAAGCAATGAATATAATAATTACTTCAAAATAAGTAAGTTAGAACACCAAATAGTCAAATTTTAAATATAAAATGGTAAGCTTATACACACAGTGGGATTAAATATATTTTCAAATTGTGCTAAATATTAAATAAAATCATTACTTATGTTTCATATTTTTGGGAATCATGTCTGCAGCCCAAACTTTCTGAAGAGGCAAAGTAACCAACTAAATAGTTCCTTCCAAAGTAACCAACTAAATATACATCATGCACACACATTTTAAAAGTGGTGTCTTCTAAGTACTATAAGGGAGACCACCCTTTTCCAGATTATTTTCCTGCTCACGTTTAATAGTTAAAATAATACTTCTTTTTCTAAAAGCAGTACTTTTTAATTAGAAATGTTTTTACATATTAATGTAGGAAAATCATAAGTTCTATATAGCTCTGAATAAGTTGCCTCTGAATAGGTATACATTTGATCTTAGCCAAAAGGCTAAGAAATCTTCTGAATAAGTATGTGTAGGTCTTTACTATTATTAATGCAGTTCTATTTGGAAGAATAGTTATTTGTACAAAAAGTGAAAGTAATTCTTCACTCTGAGCATTTTTTCTTTATTGTCCCATGAAATTGTGAAGTATATTTTTTTGTACATGGTCCAATAGCACTTGAACAGCACAACTACTTTTTAAGAAGCTACCATGCCAAGTCAGATCATTGATCTGTCTGTATCAGAATTATCCATGCAGCTTATCAGTGGCTCTCCAGATCGATTTTTCCCCCAAACTTCAAGATGAGTTAGTAATAAAGCAGCTTATTCTTCATGATAGAGTTTAGTAATAAAGCAGCTTATTCTTCATGATAGAGTTTAGTAATAAAGCAGCTTATTCTTCATGATAGAGTTTAATCAGCTGGTTTCAAAGATGAACCATTATCATCTTCGATCTGCAACGTGAAAGACCCAGTTTGGTCTAGTGTAGTGATTAAGACACCAGGCTAGAAACCAGGAGGCTATGAGTTTTAGTCCTGGCTTAGCCATGAAATCCAGCTACATGATCTTAGGCTACTCTCTCTCAATGTAACTCACGTCACAGGGTTGTTGTTATGAGGAAAATAGGAGGAGGAAGGTGTGTTGGATATGTTTGTTGTCTTGAGTTGTTTGTAAAAATAATAAAGGAGGCATGCAAATAAATAAATACATGCAGATAGTTGCAACTTCTTTGAGCAGTTCTTTTTTATTATTTGTTAGTCCACTCAAATATAATTATAAAATCATTTTTGTTTTTTTATACCTCTGAAAGTATGCGATTGTGATAAATCTATAAAGTGAGCAGTATTGCAGGCCAGCTTCCTTATAGTTAATTAGAAATGTTAGTACTCTCTGCCATTTGGAAAATATGGAACAGTATACTTCATCTGCTACATGAAACTGCTTTTCAGATATTTGGAGACAACCATTGTGTCTGCCCAAATGTATTGAGTATAGAGTGTGGCTTTGAATGATAGAAGAAAGATCTGTTGCCAAGGCAACAATCAGATAAATGAAGCTTGAGCCCAAACCAAGAAGGTGGTTGAGGTGTGGGAAACTGACTGAGGCAGCATCCCCTACCTCTCAATTCACAGGAAGATAAGAGGAAGGGAACCACATTCAAACTTGCATGATTCTGTTACTGTAGCTCTGCTAATAAAAGTGGCTTTAGAGCTACAGGACGTCTGTTTCTTAGTCTGGTCTACCTTATAGAGCTGGCATCAATCTTCCAAGTCTAAGTGTTCAGAAAGTAGCTTATGAGGAGGTATCTGACATTCCGCAAAACAGTCTTGCTGTTTATATGCTACTATCCGGAGTATGAAGAAAACAAGATGAGCTTTGAACTCTCTCTATAAAGAAAAATACAACCTGACCAAGCCTCCTTGACTGGAATATATTGAAGTATTGCAGGAGAAAAGATCAAGATGATTGGGATCCTTAGCAAAGCAGGAATGGAAAGCACATTTAAAAGCACTTTCAATAAAAAAAAAAACAGACACCAGAACAAGCCAACTGACTACATAGAATGCCTAGTAATTATTTAAAAACGAACATGACACATAAGAATATATAAGAAGGATGAAAGATCTCTAAGGCAGGGTATACACTCTTAGCCCATAATTGCAGAGATGATATATTCAAATAAAAGAAAAGGCGTTGGTCTATAGATGTTCCTGTTCTTATGGATAGCAAAGAAATGATAGAAATGTTCCATTTCCCTGTCTTCCCTAACAAGGATTAATAATAATAATAATAATAATAATAATAATAATAATAATAATAATAATAATAATAATATGATGATGATGATGATGATGATGATGATGATGATGATGATGATGATAAAGTTGGAAGGGACCTTGGAGGTCATCTAGTCCAACCCCCTGCTCAGGCAGGAAACCCTATACCATTTCGGACAAATGGCTGTCCAGTTTCTTCTTAAAAACTTCCAGTGTTGGAGAATTCACCGCTTCTGGAGGCAGGTTGTTCCACTGGTTAATTGTTCTAACTGTCAGGAAGTTTCTCCTTAGTTCTAGGTTGCTTCTCTCTTTGGTTAGTTTCCACCCGTTGCTTCTTGTCCTGCCTTCAGGTGCTTTGGAGAATAGCCTGACTTCCTCTTCTTTGTGGCAGCCCCTGAGATATTGGAACACTGCTATCATGTCCCCCCTCGTCCTTCTCTTCGTTAAACTAGACATACTCAATTCCAGCAACCGTTCCTTATATGTTTTAGCCTCCAGTCCCCTAATCATCTTTGTTGCTCTTCTCTGTACTCTTTCTAGAGTGTCAACATCTTTTTTACATCATGGTGACCAAAACTGGATGCAGTATTCCAAGTGTGGCCTTACCAAGGCATTGTAAACTGGTATTAATACTTCACGTGATCTTGATTATTATTATTATTTATTAAATTTATATACCGCCCTATCTCCCTTACGGGACTCAGGGCGGTGAACAGGCGATACTAAAAACCACGATAAATATACACAAGTTTCTGTTCTAAAATCAAATTAAATAACAGGCCTGTTCTAAAAACACCCCATACAAAACCCCCACTAAAACATAATCAAACTACGCCAGGCCGGCCG